CTGGGTCCTTCATGTAAATGTCCACCAAATGTACTCTTAACACACAAAACTAGAGTCAGCCTGAGAGTGAGCAGTCAGGCTTTGTAGCTGGCCAAGTGAATTGTCATCAATATAAGCCAGGAGGCTCAGAAAGGGAGGCAGCACCCATGTTCTCCCTCTCATTTGCTGAATTACAGATGATCACCAGACCATGGCAGGCTAGTGAGGGATGAAAAGCACAACATGCAGAGATGCAGGTGAGGAGGTACCATAAGTGGCCGTAATAGATTTCGAACGTGTCAGGGAGCCGGTGAAAGTCAGATAATCACTGGAAGATCTGGAAAGAGGAGATGAAAGGAGACTAAGCAAGGGGAAGAGGCAGGAGAAAAAAAACTAAGGGAAAAAAGTGGGAAAAAATGAAAGAAACTCTAAGGAATAGAAAATTTGAAGAAAAGGGTATAATTCTTCCCCTCGTCTATCTCCTCCCACACATCCCTCTAGTGCACTCCTCCCTGCTACTTGTTAATGCTGTTAACTGAAGATGTCCCTCCTAACACAAGATGCTGGGCTCCCCCACTCCTACAGAAGGACAAAAAAGGTTGCCTGCACATTTATAACATCTATTCATAGACTTGTCTATAGTGTTGAACCACGAGGGTGCAGGGTTTGCAGTCAGCAGGGTACTTGTTGCAGGAACAGCCCACAAGTCTTACACAGAAAAGCCACTTTTACAAACAGGTTACAGATACAAAGCACTTGCAGATTTGCACATGCCTTTTGGAAAAGGAGCACAGACACAGTGACTCCCTTTCCAAAGGTCAATTATCATTAAAAGTGTTCAAGAGAATATCATGAAGAAAAATTATTTTCTTGGCAAGTTTCTTATGTTTTCAGGAAACACACCAAGCACTTGAGCTTTTGTTCTAACTTTTACAGTGGATGAACTCTTCTATGAACTGACAACAATGTCTGCATATCTCACACAGTGTTCTGATACTTGTAGAAGCAGATATCTTTCATACAGAATTGAATGGGTGGTTGCAACAGATAGGTAACCAGAAACTGGTCCAGAAGTAATAACACACCAATGAAAGCAGATTTATAAAGATTTAGCTCTCTGGATGCACAATGCTGAAAATATCTTTCACTGTATTTTCAAGGAGATGACCTGTCTATTAAAACCTAATAGGGTATTTCATTATTATCCTTCAGACATAACAGGAGGAGTTATTTAAATATATTATGCAGCCATTTTATTTTTTTTCAGTAGCAAACAGCTGAAGACAGCAACGTGTACTCTTTGAAGAACTAAAGGCAAAACATTAAGAATTGTATTTTTTTTAGAAAGACAACAACAAAAACAACAGTCACCAAAAAAAACCAAAACAACGAAACAAACAACTGTCTTCTGAAATTAGTTAAGAACTACTTTCTAGCTATTTCAGCTTCAAAAATGAGCCTCAGTGATTTGACCAGACACTTTGAATATAGTAATTGTGGAGGACAAGAAACATGATGTTACCAGTTTCTTTTATTAATAAAAAATGCTGCCCTTCTTTTCTATCTTTGCAGCACATGACTGGATTGATACTGTTCTTTCAATAAATAATGGGTCTGTATCATTATCATTCTGGTCAGTGCCTTCTAAACATATCCAGGAAAGAGAGGAGGTATACAAATTCAAAATACAAAACAAAAAGACCAAATTAGTGACTCACAGTTTCATTACTCAAGCAAAATACTTTTTGAAACACTGTCAAATGTGATAGGGGCAAAAATGAAGCACCCTGCCCTGCATTTAAAACATTTTCAAAACATGCCAATCAGCTTTCTAAAAGTTTAACTGTTGGCTGAAGCGATCAGATCAAGAGGTTCCTCAGAGGTTTGTGCTATTCCAGGACATCACTGCTGTAAGTTATTGACGGCATATTGTTTTTCCTTAGAAGATTTGCTTATGTTCATAACAAAAAGGAACTCTAATGGCTTCTTTTTGTTCTTTGTTGTGTTTTTTTCTTTTCAGTGAGCACTGACAGACATGCCTGAGAGACTCTGATTGGTTTCAAAGCTGCATATGGACTGGGATACAAGCAGAGGCAGCAAAAAATGATAATGAAAGTGAACCATTCAGTATTCTGATGAAGCTGAAAAATTAGGATTGTTTACTTAAGTCAAAACTTATTTGCATTTCCTGACATTTCTGGTCTGTTTTTCCCTCTATTAAGAGTTTATGTTATGTAACAGACAGATTAATGAATAAAAAATAAGCAAAGCATCCTGCCATTTCTGCTAGTGGCACCTCCAGTTTGGCCAAATCGCCCCTGCTCTTAACTCTGTTTCAAGAACAGATTCAGTTATATTTTTATATATATATATATATATATATATACACACACACATATATATGTGTCATGTCATGTCATATATATATACACATATACACATACACACACACACACACATATGTATTTACACCAGGATAAGGCTTCTAAAGAGCATCCAATATGGAATATTTGTTTGCACAGGCTCAGGTGACATTTTATACAGATTATAGGCAGATTCAAATCTTGCATTTCTTAGGAAGCAGCATTCATAAAACATTTACTAATGTATTTCCAGAAAACCTTTAGAACTTTTACTCCTCGTGTTAATCAGCATTATGAGAAGCCTTTAATACACATAATAGGCATGCAAATAATAGTGTCTCAATTATATGGTTTTTCAGTAGGCAGAACATATTTTCAAATTATTCTGCCTTTTAGATACTCTGATTTCAAAATGAAATACAAGTTATCAGAGTTAGAATTACATACCTACTGACTGCCACTTTTAATTATTCTAAACATATCAGGAATTACTAGGAGGACTTATATTTATCAGTGCCAACAGTTTCAATAGCAAGGAGATCATCTCCCATTTCTTTCGTCCCCTGCCTAAGTCCCTGGTTTCCTGCAGGACCAAGGGAACAAATCACACCAATTCCCTTTAAGTGCACAACAAGTCACAGAGACAAAATATCTTTCACTGTATTATGGATAGGCTGGAATAGCTTTGGGGCCGATTCCTCCTCTCCATGACAGCAGTGAGGGAAGGTATTAGGTACACCAGCAGTTTAGACACCCCAGGAGGTAGTAACACCGATGTGACATGACTCTCAGCAACACACCAACCTTGCTTTACCCTCCACAGGACCTAAGGCTGCACACACTAACTACCCCAGACCCTGCAGGCACTCCCCACCCTTGTACCAGTGCTGCCCCTCACCCTCATAGCCAGGTCTCACTGAGCCTTGGAAGAGCCCAAACTTTTTAATTTCAGCATTTTAAAGCAAAGACCACAGGAGGAACCCACAAAGAAATCCATTTTCATCCCAGTGCTGGCTGCAACTTCAGTAGAGATTTTACTAAGCTTTCTTCTGCAACATTGCAATGGAGAAAGCACACCAGATTCGTTAAATTAAACAAAATGCCATTAAAAACTTAGCTGCTGAGACAACATTAGATCAAAGCTGACAAAAGAAAAACACAGTCATGAGAGAAGTAACGGTATTAATTTAACAAATTAATTCCTGAACACTACAACCTGAATAACAGGGATACGTCTCTCTATAAAATCCTCTCTCCAATTTCACTGGCATTGTAACACACTGGTAGTTTGGAAGAAAACACACTAAAGATACTGTAACTCTACTAATTAACAGGGCTTGTGTATAGGGAAGGCAATAAAAATAAGCACACATATTAATGGTACAACATGAAAAATGGAAAATGGATTGTTCTAGGCTACATGTATCCAGCTTTCATTAACTGCAATAGCATCAGCTATGAAGGTGTTGAATGCAAGCCATTGGACTGAAATGAGAACTCTGCCCTGATTTAAATCTGCTCTTATTGTGGTCAGCAGGAAACTGCCTCCAGATTTCCCTGTAGCCATCAAGGGCAGGGCGCTGCTCATCTCCTCACCTCTGAACAACACGCGGGCATATCTGAAGTGCTACAGCTAAAAGCTTAAGACCAGCAGGAGATCTCATAAACAAACTTCAAAGTAAATATTTTACCAGGCACAAGTAAATGCTTATTAAGATTTATATCATATCTTCAGCGTCCTTGACATTTTACAATAGTGTTTATCTCCTTGTTTGCTAATTCACAGAATTGGATAATCTACAAGAAATTTACACATAACAAATGAGCAGGATTCTTGGGCATGACTTCATAAATATGACATTAGCACAACACCACTCTAATATAAACATACACAATACTAAGTAGGATTAAAGCATTTCCTAAGAGCAGAGGAGGTCCTGTATGCCACTGAATAAATGCTGTGTGACAACCTGCAGGGACTCAATGAGGGCAAAGGGACCCAGTTTGTCCAGTGGAGCAGTGCTCTGCACTGCCTCTCTGTCCTGAACACACAGAGCAAAGGGGCTGGGAATTAGGTCAGTGAATCAATGAGCCCCAGTTGCATCAGCCCAGCACACTTCTCAGATAAAACAATTTCAAGACTAAAACACCTCCATGAAGATTCTGGGAGTTCTGTCTATAAATAGGGAGTCCTTTTTTTCCAATGAAGAAAAAATCCATGAGTAGTCTATGCATTATGACCATTTATAAAGTCCAACATGAAGCTTGTACTCCCAGTTATTAGTGCTCACATGCACAATGAAAATAAACCCCATTATAGTGAAAAATTCCATTAATGGGACACAGAAATCAGTCACAGACACCATTTCATAGAAACACCTAACGTTTCCAACAAAAATCTGTAAAAATTAAACTGGGGGTTTAAAGACTCCTCCATAATGCGAGGGAGTAGCTGTGAACAGTTTTGGAGAAGGCACACACTGTAAGCAAATGCAGGCTTTTGTTACTCTGTTAAGAATGTCAGAGGCATTTGCTTTTTTCCTTGACTCATCCTTTTTCTTAGTGGATACTGTGACCCTTAGTCCTGGCAAATCCATCAGTACCAAAAAGTTCTCTGTGGTACCTCATTAATCACTCCCCTGCCATGTGCTATCTTACCTGCAGATGTAATTCTTCTTGCAGGATTCTTGTAAATTCAGGCAGTTTGGTTTCTCCCTGTCCTCATATGAACACACAGGAACAATAGTCTGCCGTCTCCTTTCTGTACAGGCTACGTCTCGACAGGAGCAGAAGAGCATCCCATAGCTGTGCTTTGGGGGGACTTTGTCAAAAAATAGCCGGAGGGCCTTATGACACTTCCGCTTGTTACAGATTTCATTAGACGTGCTGCTGGTGCAGGGGGTTATGTAAGCAGATCTGAACCTCTTGCAGGTATCATTTAGGTTGCAAGCTTTTGCTGCATCCAAGCAATTGTTCCCCTTTGAAAGTACTGGCTCCACTAGAAAAAACAACACAACAGCAGTGAGAAATGCATCACATTTATACTGTGCTTTGATGTTTGTGGTTATTTCACTGTTAACGAGATCCTCAATATACATATTTGTTACATACAAAACTTTCAGTGCCAGAAACTGCAACCAGTCCTTATGTTTCTCAGGGTAATGATTTAAGCGAACAAGAGCACAGGCATGCGTTAAGGTCAGAATGCTGGCAAATAAATGACAAATATTCCGGGCAGGCTGCACTTCATCTTCCTTGTAGCAGACATGCAGGATGAATATTGGGTAAGACTTGGTCTCACTAAACAGCCATTAAAATCTGTGGTAAATTGGAAGGGATACGTTTGGCCCATTGCACAAGAACACAGTGAGAAAGTGGGCTTCTAACTCTGGTTTTGTAAAGTTCTGACATTTGTAATTTCTCCCTTGAACAAGTTAAATGACGTTCTGTGCCTACCCCAGGTAACAACATTTAAATGTAATCTGTGTACTTTGCAGAATGTAAAAGCCATGTGCCCATTCTTACAGTTTTTGAGGTATGAGAACAGCTCACCCAGACAGAAAGGAAATCAGGTGCAGCCCTACGACTGGAAGCTCTCTAAAGCCACCCACAAGGCCTGCAAGCTCCATGCTTAGGTAAAAACACTGCTATAAGGTCTATAGATGCCACCTGAACCCTGGTAAATTTATGAAGTTTACAAGCTTTGAAGAAGCTGACACAGAATTAACAAGTGTCTGTGAAAGAAACATTATAAAACAAGGAGTGTGTCTCTTTCTCACACACACACACGTGCACACACTACAAGAAGTTACAGGAAAAATTAAACTCAGATATAATTTAAGGCTATAATTACACATTTAATTTTGCAATACATTACCCAGATATTATAACCCAATAGATCCTCTGCTTGAAAATGAAGGCAACTGGCATTAGATTGCAAAATTCAATTAAGAATAACCATAATGCTGCTTTGAATATTAGGAAAGCCAACATCACAGATCCAAGAAAATACATTAACTTCCCACTGCTACAGAATTTTCAAGCTGAACAAAACAGTTTGCAAATATCTAAAATCTGTTGCAACTTCTTAGGGGGGCTGGCCAAAGATAAAACACCTCAAACATTTTAAAGCTTTAAGTTCCTCTTAAAGCTTTTTCTTCCTAGATCTTCCACCTTTATCCAGAAACTTAGTCCCAGGTCCTTCTACAACTCAGTGCCACTCACCCCCATTCTCCTACCACTCTGCCTTCCATTTTCAGATCAGGACATCAACCATTTCTCTTTTTCCTTGGCAGGAAAAGATGATGCAGCTTGGCTGATGTGCTGCACTGAGGTTCTGCATTTGTTTGAACATACTGTACCCACAATGGGCCTTGGCTGCTCACACACACTTCACATTATACAAATATATCACCTACGTCCCATCCATCTCACCTATCCAAAAATAACACAAAGCATAAGTAGCATTAGATTTGTGTTTCACTCCAGCAATGTGCAACTATGTTCAGGGGTTTGTACATTTAACCTTTGTGCATTTAACATTCACACTCCAAGTCCTTCCCAATCTCAGCTGCTTGCACAATAAACTGCAACTTTTTCCTTATGTTCATAAATTACAGAATTATAAACATGCAACATTTGACTATAAATTAACAGAGTCAAGCATTTTTTATAAGAGCAGCCCACAACAGTTTAAGCAACACCGCATGCAGAAGAGATGAGATACCCAAAATACAACCCTCTCATAAAATTGTAACATTTTTATGTAAAACATTGTACTACATTAGCATACAACTATAATCTTAGTTATGAACTTCCAAAGTTTTTTTTAATACAGTATATAGAATTATATGTTTAGTACAAATATAATTACTATGTAATCTGCAGGGCATATAATTAGGCAATATATGAATAGTACATGCTAATTACAATGTGATTGCACAGTAATTACATGGTTATTTGTGCCTTGGAGTCAACTGCTGAATTCCCCTCTTTAAAACAAAATTCTGTGGAAGAGCTCCGAATGGGGTGCTACAAAATGAACAGACACCAGCTTACTGTATTGATATACACTGCTACAGAATTAAAAAGCACTCTTGAGTATGAGCACCTCAAAAATCAAAAGGGACAGGTTAATCAATCTTTTTTAAAAGGTAGAACATAAGCCAAATCACTGACAATGCAAAGAGCAGTGAAAGTTATCTTGGATGAAAGTTGAATTAGGTGCAAAGTGTTCAAAAACAATAGTTATGCATATTCGTATCTGTCATCCGATTTATATCTGCCCAAGACCCTCATTCCTCTACGTGTCAACTCTGAACACAGATCAGTTTTTTGGAGGTTTTGGTTTTTAAACTACCCCTGGCTGTAACATGCCACTTGCCTTTTCTGTTTGATACACACGTCCCTAGCTATTGTTTCTAGCATATTTGTCATCACATTTTACAAATTATTTTCACCTTTTAAAGCCAAGACTAACTTACAACATATAAGAGAGATGCATCAACTATATTTGAATTAAAACAGACTGTCTAAACCAACTCATTAATATCACCCTCTCTTAAGCTTTTAAATCATGTTTTAATGAAAAATTTACAATACAGAACACTTTATTTTAATTGCAAAAGTGCAACATAACTATTCCTAAGTCCTGTGGTAACTACAAACAGTTAAGAATACTGGGAGTTTCTGAGGATTACTTATGCGGCAGTAATATATAAGGTCAAAATTTCATCCAGCGTCTGTTCTGCAAAGCTTAAATTATTAAGACAGGCAGCAGTTTGGCTCTTAACAGGTACTGCCTACTTTAAAAGCAAACGGATCTAATCCAGAGCTACTTTTCCTGCCAGAATCCTTTGGGAAAGGTTTGTACAAGGAGATCCTTTTTCAGTTCCCCCCTCTCTTGGGGCACTTAGATATGGATTGAGGGCAGTCAGGGCAGCAGCCTGGGACAAGTAACGATTTCTTCCCACTGCCATTTCCCAACCCAGAGCTTCCCCTCTCCCAAGTCTGCTTTGCCTAGGCCAATTCTGCAAATCTCTGCCAAACCATGCAGCTCTCCACTCCCGCCAAATCACTGCAGACTCTAAGGGAAGTTACTTCCAGGCAGGTAGTAAGTGATGCCTCACTGCTGTGTGCATGGCACTGGTTCTCGTCTGTGGCACGGGCCCAGGAGAGCTGATGTGGAATTCCCAGGATGCTGCCTCCCAGCAGACACCTCCAGTAGCTGTGAGCCGTGGATGCTGCCCTGATGGGGTGCAGGCAGAGGCATGGCAGAACACTGCCAGAGCCAGGAGCTGCTGCCTTGGTGGGAAACCAGCAGCTCCCAACAGCCAAAGCATTAGAATGCACAAACCCACCCTCCTACCAGGCACAACTCTGGAGCAGCAATCACTGGCTTACTGATACTGAGTTATTTCTACATTCGTCACCAGCTCACAGCCCTTCTGCTGCACATGGAAGACATGCAGCCAAGGTGACATGTTTTACTGATGAAAAAGCAGTCCTTGTACTACAGCATAGGGCGTAACCACTTTAGTGTTTGTTACCTCCTGAATCTCCCCATCCTGGCCCAACACTGCTACAGCTGCAGCACTCCTTGATTCAATCTCCCACATGACCACAGAAAGAAGCCAGCCAAATGCTCCAGTCTTTTATCCAGAGGTGTTTCTAAAGTTTTAATAGGGTTTCCTCTGCCCTGTTTGATCTTCCTTATGCTTCACCCTCTTTCACAGTCTCTTCACCTTAATCTTTCATCTTCCTTGCATCTCCATTTCTATTTCATTTCTTCACCTACTGTGCCTTTGGCTGTCTCCTCAACTTCAGATAACCCATCCCATGGTGCACAGGAAGGGATTCCATGGATATCGGGAGTTTCTTATTTCTGCTCCCAGTAGACAGAAGGAGCACAAGGACTATTAGTTGTTCTATAAGATTCTTATTAAACAGCAAAATGGACACTTAGTTTTCAATTTTCTTACAGCACATTAAAAGCAATTTACTGAGGTTGTCATTAAAATTACCATTACTATTTCCAAGTAATTAGCATTAGTAGGTTTTCTAGTAGATTTAGTGAAGGGAATGCTATAAAGAGAGCGATAAATGTTAATGTGATGGAAGGCAAAATTACAAAGTGATAGAGGTGACCACATGGGTATGGGCCTACTCCAACACAGGTGCATAATATGGCCTACAGGAACCAAAAACTGACCAGAATTGCCGGTCATTGAGGGGAGCCATGATCCCACTTTAATAAAAGTGCTGCTATGGGGTTCAACAAAGTACTTTTGCTTTGTAAAAAGAGCAGATTAAAAAACAAGGAAAGCATAAAAAATATTGTCATCTGCCTTTTAATGCATTAAAATAAATTATCATTTTCCTGGACAAACTATTTCTAATCCCAAATGGTAGAGAAAAATCCTGAGATTGATACACATAGTATTATTCTGAAGTTCTACTTGTCTTCTGCTTAGTATTTACAGAACAGCCAACCTACTTCAAACTTTTTGCATAATCATAATAAGCAGATGCCTTAATTTGTAAATTGAAGCTAATATATTATCAGCTATAACCAGGGCATTCAGAGTACTACCAAATACAACAAGATTTATGCTGAATTTAAAGTCGATGGCACCAAGTGACAAGGATGAGCCCGACTCCCGTGTGCCTGTGAAGGGTACAACCAAGGCTACAGCAACAAATAGACTTAAGGTTCCTGAAACCAAAGCTGGAACATTTTACATTCCTGGTGAGTCATAAGTCTTTGATCACACAAATTCCACAGGTCTCTAGAATTCTTTTCTGAATACACCCATAAATTTATTTGAGGAGGTAAATACTGCCTCCTATCCAAGTCATATAGAGATCAAGAACATTTACATTGCTTAGCATGAACCAACAAGCATGATTTGGATGTGTTCATTTACCATGTTGTTTTTGGAAGTGTTTAGCTACCATGTTATGTACAACTGCTATGCCCAAAGTCTTTGGCAACACACC